TAGTAGAATATATATATATATATATATATATATATTCTACTAACTACATTATAACTGTTCTATTATTTATCTCTTAATTTAGAACAATTTTTTAGGTCTGATTATCTGATCTGATCTATAGAAACTTATCTGCTTTTTACCATCTAAATATCTGTTCAATTAAGAATTTAAAAACATGGATAATATCGAATCTTGCTTGGGGATGGATAGTGTGATTTAAATCCTGAAATACTAATAACTCCAACTATGTTCCAACAGACTCTATCTGGAGACGAACCCACACCGTAAAAAAAAAAGAAAAACTTTTTATGTGTTTAAAGCATAACATTCTACACATGTAAAATTGGGCTTCAAAGAACCAATGATGAATGGACACCTTAAAACAATAAAATTGTTTTCTAATGAAGCTCTCCATCAAAATGTGCCTCAGATTAACAATCATCAGACCTGTGCAGTATTTCCTGAGGCTGTGCATGAAGTACATTCAATGACACAGGGAGGCACTCATCCCTTAACTTTGTTTTTAGCACCTGCGCATCCAATAGGCAATGAAAGCCCCATTGTCTAAATGTAAAAGAATATAAATATAATCATTTACTTCAAGGAAACTAATTTACAACATTAAAAGGCTTACCGTATTTGTCTTCACATTTTGAACATTTCTACTTAAATCTCACTGGCTAAATGTCTGAAATAATTTATGAGAGAAATATTTAAAAGATCTGGATCTTTTAAATATGGAAACAAGACAACCTGCAGAACAAATCATTTTTATAAATTCGGAGAGGCAAATATTGATGCATGTGTTCTCATTGTGCCAGGTTTTATGGCATACTAAAAAAGCACCACGACACCAGAACATTACTTCCTGTGTCTATATGCCTGTGTCTATAGTCTATATGCTTGTGTGTTAATTACAATTTCTTGCTCCATTCAATGTCAGGGACAAACTCCAATCACAGTGAAGGTCAATCCTGCACACGATCAGAAAGAACAGAGAGATTTTTTTCCTCTTCCAGGGCTTTAAGAGCAAAAAGCATCATCCTGTTGTTGTCAGTCTGGTTTGGAAATTCTTGTAACCAATTTTTGAAACATCATCAAAATGATTTACTTGTGTGGTGCCTTACATCTGTTAAATAAGAATGCAGCGGTCTGAGCTTTCTGTTGTGTTTTTTTCCCCATTGTATTAAAATAAATCATTTGATAATTAATTACGGTAATTTTTTTCAATCATTTAAACATGCTTGATCATCTATGGGGTGGCTACAACACCATGTTCACTCTGCTTGTTCACTTTTGAAGGGGTGTTAAGTATGATGAGGTTCATACTGTTCTGTAATCTGCGTCTCTGCTTCCTGTTCCGTAACTAGCTTCCGTTTCAGTATTGTTAACAAAGGCACTACACGGTGGCTGCTTCCTCTTAGCCGATACAACCTGCCTGCAAAGCTTCCTGTGTCTTTTTGCTCACTTGAGGCCTGGTTCAAATAGTTAAAGGGTTTTACGAAACAGTAACAGCTAAGGGCAAAGATAAAGCAAGGATTCTTTTTTTGTGTGTGTATCAAAAAGAGGAAGTTCCTGCCTCTAAATACGTTCCTCTATCGCTCATGATTAGGCCTTTTCTTTAAAGCCTCCATCCTCAGACAAAACAAGAAATGAAAGATGCTTCATCATTTGTTTTCACATTTTTAGCAAACAAAATACAAAAAAAGTCATTTTCATAATGTTTTTTTTTGTTGTTGTTTTTTATGCAACTGCATATTGATAGATGAGGCCAGTTTTGAATCTAAACATGAAAACTGTCGGCTCTATAAGTCATTGATGATTTTTTTTTGGACCATCACAACTCATCCTAAAAATCATGGATTTTTCCCAAGGATAAACTCTTCTCAGTTTGAGCCAAGTTGGACAAATCAAACCTCAGCAGATTAAAGATGTTGCACGACGAGATAAACAGATGTTCTTTTTGAACGCTTTTGACATGCGGAGGTATAGCTAAAAGTCTCTGTGAACATCAACAGTACTGTGTGTGTGTGTGTGTGTGTGTGTGTGTGTGTGTGTGTGTGTGGGTGGGTGCAAACACTGTCAAAATGTTGCACGCTAAAAGAGCATGTCATTAAGTCAAAATATTGAGTGATATTTAAAAAGGAGCAGGGATTTCAAAACAAACAGCCAGAGGAAGAGTTTTTGACAGATTCATTTTCTTGACTGAAGCTCAAGGTTTTACAGCTTTTCTTACTTGTAGTATTTCATAAACTGGAATAAACGGTTGGAATCCCCTTCTGTAGCTTTTTCGTTGAAAATATTTGTCTTGCCTTTGGTTTTAACAACTCTTTACCCGTGTATATGTCTAAAGTATTTATTTCATTAACTGAAGGATAGTCTTATACTAAACTTGTTTGAATAATCAATCCATTTTTTTGTGAAGAAAAGTTTTACACTCATGCCAACTAACACCACCTAAGAAGTAAATCAAACAAATGCTTTTCAGTGTATTTTTTATTTTTAAGTGACTTTAACTGCAAAGTGGCTTTCAAATTTTAGAGTGCATCTGGGAAGTATCTATAGCCCTGTGCTTTGTCCACATTTAGTAATGTCACAGCCTTATTCCAAATGGTTTCAATCTCTTTCCTCAAAGTTCAAGGCATAATAGCCCGTTATAATCATGTGGAGATGGCTCATTTTTTAGATTGTTGCAGATTTATTATAAATAGAAAACCAAGAAATCTCATTTTCTTATTGGCAGCTGTTGTTAAAGCTTTGGTTGTTGTCCTGTAAAAAAATTAACCTTTGTTTTTATGTCTCTGTACATTAAAACATTCATCTTCCTCCTTGTCCTGTCTTCTCTAAACTAGTAACAGTTTTTCATGAAATAAGATGCATTTCTAATCATTGCATAAATGATTTAGTTAATTCTATTGATACATATTGGTGGTGAGTGTGAATAAATCTTGAGGATCCTGCAAAGAAACCTGCCGTTCGCATCATTTTTAAGCATGGGCAGTTCTAGACAGGGGCCAACCGGGGCCAGTGCCCCTGTAAATCATGTCCTGATATTGCCCCTGTACTGAAGAAATAATACTTAAAAGAAATTCTAATAATGATATGAGCTGGAACAGACATGGTTACTGATAGGTCCTTTGGATCTATTTATTTTATTTTATCTTTTTTATTAAATTATGTTTTACTAATTATCTAAAAATAATAGGATGATAGTTTCAGTGGTATTGAGATAGGATTCCAGTCTTCATCTTGTAAATGCTTTTTTCTTTTCAAAACATTTTTTTTACTCTAATTTTTAAAGCTGAATTAATCAGGTTTTTTTTAGTTATCATTCAGATTTTATAGAAAATTGTCATTTTAACGTAAATTAAGTGAAAAATATGTAAAATTCCTAAATTATGAATGTATATTGACCTCATAAGAAATATAATTTTTATTAAACCTAATTGAATAAAAATTTCACTTCATCCAGCTCTCTTAATACATTTTAATGTCTTGCCCTGTTTTTTATTTTATGCTTTTCTGTGCCCCCATGAACCCACTCTGGCCCCCTCCTGGCCCCCTGGTAGATTTTGGTCTAGAACCGCCACTGTTTTTAAGCATTTCCTGATGGTTGAGTATAGATACATTATTATAATGTCTTATTGGTTTCAGTCCCTGTTTCATCTCAGAAGAAAAGCGCAGAAGATAAATACTTAAGGTGAAATAGATATACTAACTCACAACAAATTTGTTTAGTGTTTGATCATTTAAGACTTTACTTTACTTTAAGAGGACTTTGCTTCCGGACATCTCGTGTTTTTGACTGAAGGGCCATGCATGGTTGAGTGGAGTAATAAATCAGAGAAGTGACAGAGACACTTACATCCGCCTTGGTCCTTGTGATCCAAGTGTCCAACAGAAGCGCAAGACGCGTCTGGTGGAACTTCCACGTGGTTTTCACAGCTATATAAATATCATCCAGTCTGAGTTTTGGCTGAGAGTCATGGGTACCTTCAGTCACCGACTTGTCTCCGTTATATTTATCCAGTTTGGATCTTCTTCCGCTGCTGCTGTAGTTGTACATTAAACTCCGCGCGCCTTTGGCCGCGATGGAAACCTGCTGGATGAATCCATGGAGCGCACTGGGCGACGGGAGGTGATTGAATCTGGGAAAGCGGGTTGTGCGTAATTGAAAATCCACAAACACAATGAGGAAGAAAGTGAAAATCAGAACAGGCAGACTCCGACGTATCCATCTTTTACGCATGGTGCACAAAGACGCTTAAACTAGAAAGGTCCTCAAAGGAATTGAAGTTTAACTCTCTGTTGTTTGTTTGTTTTCTAATTATCATCCGTTTAAACCAGTTTAGACCAAGTTTGTAGCGGTTCCTCCATCAGAGTTTCTTCTTCCTCCTTCACCGTTATAGTTCCTTTTAAGCGCTCAACTCTTCTGGTAGTCTCATGACTATAAAAGTATTTCATATCCGGATCGTTTGTTTGTTTGATTTTTGTTATTCCAACCTGCTTTAAAAAGGAAAGTTTCATAATAATCCATTTTAAGACTGAACGGCCCCTACCATGAATTTATCTGACTTGTCAGAGCTCTTCTGTCATTTTAGCGTCATGTTAGATGGAAGCACCTGAAGTGGGATTTCCTTTCTGCACTTTCAAAATAAACTCTTTGAAAAAAAACATCCGGTTTCAGAAAGATTAAAGGTGAACACCGTTTTTTGTTTTTTTTATTACATTGGCCCCTTCATTTTACGTAATTACATCATGTTCTACTCACCCATAAGAGTTTTGTGTCATTTGAATCTGTTCTGAAGATATGTCGTTAGGTTATATCCAAGTAACGTCTTCCTATGGGCAATGACTTGAAGGCACAAACTAAACTGTTCATAATTTATTCTTTATGGTACGCCAGCATTCATAGGCGAATCACTGTCCCCCAGACATCCGGGGTTATATTTTTTATATTTATATTTTTTAAAACAAAGCAGAGTTTGTATGACGTCCCGGGGACCCTGGGGCACCCTGACCCCTGGCGGGGGCCACCACTGGGGCCCCGCAAACCAGCTCCCAGGAATAAGCCAACACCCACCATCTTTCTTAAGAAAGATGTTAATTGCTTTGGGTAGGATGGGTCTCCTAGTTGTCATTATAGTGAAAGAAGCAACTGAGTGAAAGGATTAGAGGGTCATGAAAAGGATGTACAGGGTTGCCTTTAATATCGTTCAATCTGATTAATATTTTTGTGTACAACAATCTAGAATTATCCCCTTCTTCATCAGTTTATAAGTATATCTATTTTGGTGGAGTGGAAAGAAGAAATCCCCCTATGAGAAAAAGCCGTAAGAAGCCCTATTTGCCCTGTTTTCATAACACCAGGTTGTCATGATTTTATCTAGTGCTTTGACCCACGTGCAGAAGGCCAAACAGAGAGACCAGGGAAAAGTTTAACAGGTTTATTTATAATGATGAGATTAGTCCAGTGCTGCTCTGAACAGTGTCGAACCGGAAGTCTCCAGAAGAAGGTATCTCTTATTGAATCCAATCGGTGTCGGTTGTTCCAGTGAATGTCTTGTTTGATGGAGGGCGGACAAGGTTGCGGTTGTTCCTTGGTGAACAGAGAAGCTGACTGCCACTTAGATTTTCTGCAGTACTTGAACGGTTTCTTGTGGAGATGAACCCCTGCTCAGAGAGAAGCCCCAAACGATCCTTGGGGGAAAAGGTTAATCCAAACCACAAACTTGAATCCTCAGCTAAGTTTGGTTCTCAGGTCTGAAAAATCCAGTTTGCAGGATGACTTCCTGCCGAGAGGCAAAGACAAAAAACAGCAAGATTAAAACTCAGGTAGGCAAAAACTCAGTTTGACTCAGCAAAGCTCAGCTTGGCTAGAGTACCCAAAAACTGGCAAACACTCTGGAGTCGAGGTAGTGGCAGTCAGCAGCTTAAGAGTAATCCGTCAATGAGGTAACCATCCGCAGGTGTGTGAGGAGGCCAACCAGAGCCAGGCGCCGCCTGGTGGAGGAAGGAAGACAAACACAAAACACACAGACTGGATTCCTAACACAGGTAACCCAGTCAGACACAAGTTTTAAATTATTTAAGCCCTTCTCTATATACCACAGTTATTAATTATCAGTCTATTGCATGAATTACAAATAAATACATATTAGTTTGAAGCTATAGAAAGACAACAAGGAAAACCTTTCAAAAGGACACAGAGTTTTGAAACTATACCAGTATAATAATTGTTAGAGTTCTGGTTCTGTTATATTTTTTCTTTTGGAAATTCAGTTTTGCTTTGCTCCTTGTTTACTAGTTTTTTATGGTTTAATTCTTATTTTATTGTGTTCTTTGGTTTTTTTCTCAGTTTCTGTCTTAGTCTTGGTTCTGTTCTGTTTTCTTTTGAGTGTTCAGTTTTGTTTTACTCCATGTTTTATAGTCTTAGTGGTTTAATTCTTATTATGTTGTGTTTTCTGGTTATTTTCAGTTCTCAGGTTTTTATTTGTTGCCCTCTGCTGCCCTCTTGAGTTCTCCTTTTTCCCCTTGCCCCTTTCTTGTTTCTGCTCTACTCACACCTGCTCCTAATCTGCTCGTTAGCCCTCTCTTTGTTTCAGTCTCCCATAAATACTCTCTCTGCAGTTCTTCAGTGCTGGTTCCTCGTCAAACTTCCACCAACTCCGTCTCTCTGAGCCTTCCACCTTGTGATAGTTATCACCCTGATGACTCCATGGTTTCTGTAAACCTTCATTAAATCACCAAGAAATTCACCTTTGCCTTCATGCCTCTGCTTTTGGGTCAACAATCCATAACCAAATCCTGGCAATAATAATAATTAAAAAAAATAGCTTTGAGTAAAAAATGGATCGAGGAAAAATAAAAATGTAAAAAATGATCTAGAATTGGGGAATTTATTCCCACACAATCTACCCAATTGTTTCAATACCCACATTAGGTTATAATACTGTCTGTATTATAACCTAATGTGGGTATTGAAACAATGAAAAATGTCAGCATATTAGATGTGGAGAAGTCTATAAAATAAAAAATTATCCTTTATTCATAACTGCCTTCACAGAATGTTGTCTCAAAGCAGCTTTTATTTGTTAAGGAATGAAACAGTTCAATGTTACTCTAAGCTGATGGAAGTCAAGCTCCTTTAGCGGTATACTGTTCCCAGTGCTGTTGTCTCCAGAGACTGCCACTAACAAGTGAAAGAGCTTGATACAATTAATTCACCTCAGACCCTCATCGCCACCTTTGTTTATTTGTCCTTTCTCAGCGTTCTCACCTTACATCAATCCCTCCATCCCCGCCTCTTTCCTTGATCTCCTCCCCCCTCCACTGACCAGCTGCCTTTTCTCCATTCCAGCACTCCCCAAATAAGCAAGGACAACCCTCCCCTCCCTCCCCACCTCTTCACTCCCGCAGGTATACCAGAGACATCCAGGGAACACCCTGGGCCAAGAAAGACCCAGCATCACCTTACTGCCCAGCTGAAAAGTCCTCTTTCTAAAGCAGTGAGCAAAACACGGCTTCGCTTTGAACAAAAGGCCACTGGAGTCGAGGGAGCAGACCTTCTTTCAAGGCTTTGTCTTTATGCCTGATTTAAGCTCCAGTTCAGAGAGTGACTGGAGCTGTGAGCAAGATATGAGATTGGAGATAAGCACAGTACAGTCCTAAGATCAAACACAGAAACTTTGAGAAATAGTTCAACAAAAAATAAATAAATAAAAAATTATCAAAGAACAATTTCATTCATCTAATTAAATTCTCACATTGCTTTGGGTTCCAATTGGTGATGCACTTTTTAGCTGCCTAGATCAAACAGAACTGACAATGGCATACTTTGTTTTTTAGTTCTGATATTTTAAAGTATCCCATTGTGACTTTACACCCCCAAAACCAAACATCTAAACAAAATAACATAGAACCAAAAAGCAGAGATAAAATCTCGGTTAAGCATTTGAGTTCATAAAAATGTTTAATGCCTGAGAAAATAAAGAGATTAAATCACCAAAACGTAATCAATCTCAGCTGTTTGCAGCAGCTCTTGTTTGTGTCATGAAATTGATGACAGTTTTTGTTCTAAGTGTATTTACTACTAGACTAGAATAATTGTTTTGTTTCTCATTTTATTTTAACTGAAAATACAAAATATGTTTCTGAGACTAAATCAGTATTTTTTTAATAAAACAACAAGCCAGTTACAGTTTTGGAAATTACAGAATCAATAAATCAATGTTGATCCACACATTTACAAATGTTTAAATGTTTAAATAAGTTACATTAGTCAATTTTCTAAAGATTAATAATTAAGGATTAGATTTGAGCATGCTTCATTAAATATTATTTGTGTTTAGTCAGACATGTTTCATTCAAACAAATGTTTTATTGTAAATGTAAGTGTTGTGTCCACTGCAAAGGCTGCCTGTCATTGTTGCCTACATTTATGACATTTTTTAATTTCCTTTATACACCATAAAAAAAAATTTTAGAAGAAAAGCAGGTGTATCTAGTTTTAGTTTGCTGTGAATTTACTAATTCTTGTTTAAATCTCACATACATGCGTCCCCAGAATTGGGAAAACAGCTTCTGACATAATTCAGGAAGGATACTCGAACAATTTCTATCAGGTGGAGTTTGTTTAATTTGAGTGGTTTTCTTCAATGGACCTGATTTTACATATATTTTATTTATTCTTAAAAGGTTTGAAGTTAGGGCCATCCATGAAAGTTATTTATTTTGTTTTTTATATAACAGATTCAGTGTGGATGTGTGTTTGAAATCCTTTTCCTGTCAGACCAAATATTGGCCAAGTTTCCACTTCCTATATGTTAATCTGACTAGAATATGGTGGTAGATCTCCTTTGTTTTTATTCCATCCACTTTGGGCTTTTTACCAGTAAAATAGAATAAACCCTCAGCATAAAACTATCACTGCCATGCTTTCAAGCACCTCCTCTTGATATTTTTAGAAAACTTCATAGAAGGATGGTTTTTTGGTGCAGATGGATGAAATGTAGACACTGTTCCAACAATACACAAAACAAAACATACAGAAATGTTTTTGGAAAAGATAAAAGAAAAGTATGAATCTGGAATGACCCAGACATAAAGCACTTTGAAAGTATAAATATCTAATATATATCTAATATCTTCTGATACAGGAAGCCATCTTATTAGATGATTCTCATTTGATGGGTCATATCGTTTAGAGAAAAGCTTGTTGATAGCTACAAAATTGGTTTTCTTTGACCTTTAACATTTCACAAAATACTGATAAAGAAGTTAGCACATATTTGTAACTGTATGCAAAGTTTAAACCTTTCTGATTTAGAAATATTCCACGGTAAATTCAGTGATGAGCAAAAATGATCATTTCCAGAGCAAAGTTATCAAAGTTATTTGTAAGTTATTAGTATCAAACTGTATTAAAGATTGAGTTACAGCATTGATGACGAGCTGTAACCAAGACAGATTACAAATGATTTTCAGCTGAAAATATGTAGCTAAATACATTAAGAACAGCTAGTTATCAGCAAACGTGTGGTGCTTGTGGTAAGTTAACACATAAAATTATTTATTCATAGTTTAAACAATATTTCAGATGTTAAAATTATGGAATTATTCATAATAATACAAAGTTGTTTTATTTTTAAGTCAAGCACTTGGGTTTAAAAAAGAAATCACGACCTCCCTTTAATACCTGCCTCCACCTCTAAGAATCCTTGTCTAACTTGTGTCTCCTGTCTAGTTACGGATGACCAGTAGATGGCAGCATTACTTTATTAAGATTTACTTCTCAATTTAAGATTTACTTCTCAATCTATTAGCCTACATTAAGTAATTTTAAAAGAGTACGTCTGTAAACAGAAAAAAGGAACATATCTGTTTTAAAGAAATAACATAAACAACTTAAAGATACATGTGGGTATTAAAACAATGAAAAATCTCAGCACAATACATGTGTAGAAGTCTATGAAACTAAAAGTTATCCTTTATTCATCTGCCTTCACAAAATGTTGTCTATGAGCAGCTTTTAGTTGTTAAGGAATGAAACAGTTCAATGTTACTCTAAGCTAATGGATATATATATATATATATATATATATATATATATATATATATATACACACGTATATTGTATATATATAAATTCAACTTCTGGGATATCAATTTGGTCAGCTAAGTAGCAGAGGGGGTTGTTAATCAGTTTCAGCTGCTTTGGTGTTAATGAAATTAACAACAGGTGCACTAGAAGGGAAAGAACGAGACGACCATCTATATATATATATATATGTGTGTGTGTGTGTGTGTGTGTGTGTGTGTGTGTGTGTGTGTGTGTGTGTGTGTGTGTGTGTGTGTGTGTGTGTGTGCGTGCGTGCGTGTGCGTGCGTGTGCGTGTGTGTGTGTGCGTGTGTAAAACCAGCAGTTCATCTTATAACTATGTATTAACTGTTACAATTGTGATAATATCAGGTTTATTACTTTTGTCGTTCTTCAGTTTTCTCTGAGCAAACAATAAAACTCATATCTTTTGTCAAAAGAAAAATGAGCCAAATTGACACGTTTAGTGCAGCGCTCCTTTTACAGCCTTTCAGTCCGTGCCGAGGGAAGCAGTAACATCTGCGTAGTGAACATTGCGGAAGGGCAGCGCCCCGATCTGTTCATAACAACACTTTGGATGTCAGGGACATTTCCTTATAAGAAGGACAGGATTGTTTGACAGCTCAGAAGCAACCTGTCAGGGAAGGAACCTCTGAGCCGAGATGGCCCAGGCTAACATCTCAGTGACAGAGAGCCAGTTCAGGTGTCCCATCTGCCTGGACATCCTCAGGGACCCCGTGTCCATCCCTTGCGGACACACCTACTGCATGCTGTGCATCAGCGACTACTGGGATAAGTCAGAGTTTGGACACTCCAGCTGCCCACAGTGCAGGGACACCTTCAGCCCCAGACCGGTGCTTCGGAGAAACACGATGCTCGCTGAGGTGGTCGATAAACTCAAACTGAGTGAGATGGTCAGGGAGCCGGTGTTCTACCTGGGAGAAGCCGGCGAGGTGGCGTGTGATTTCTGTCCGGCAGAGAGCAAGCTGAGGGCGGGGAAATCCTGTCTAGTCTGTCTGGCGTCCTTCTGCGACCTCCACGTCCTGCCGCACCGCGAGGTCGGTCCTCTGCGAAGGCACAAGCTGGTGGAGGCGGTGGAGCGGCTGGCGGAGAAGCTGTGCGCACAACACCGCCTCGGTCTGGAGCCCGAAGGCAGCGGCGGCGAAGCGGAATGGAGCGGAGACTGCCTGCTGTGTGAGGCTGACCAGGAGGAAGAGCGCAGGGTGGACACGCACAGAGCCAGGAGACAGGTAGATCTACTGAGGAACAGCTCTGAGAATAAGATACAACTTTAAAACTCTACTGGTATAATAGTCTGTCATATTCAAAATCAGCTGATTAAAAAAAAAACTAATTT